AAGCGTTCAGCTGTTTCGATGCTGAACGGATACTTCAACAGGATTTCGCACAAGAATCCGACCGCTGCTTGAACCTCGGTTCGCATCGGTGCGGCGGCGTCAGCATCAGCCGATGCCTGGACCCCGCTGTCGTCGGCTACGGCCGAACTACCGTCGTCCGAGCAGCAGTCGTCTCGGTCCGTCGTCGATACGTTTCTTTGACTCAACGTTGAGGAAACACCCATTTCGGCAGAGATGATCGGGTCGAATCGGAGGGGATCAGATCAAATCGAATGATTGATTGACTTCGTTCGTAATCGGTACACAGGTTGACGGATTCGAGTTAAGCGGCACGAAAGTCGATGGCCAGCTTCAATCGTCTCTTCACCAACGACTTTACACTCACACGCACAGTATTCCTGAGTTGAGCTCGACCAATAACGAGATTCGAACGGTGTTTCGACGCGTGTTCTGCGCGGACGTTTCTGGTCTGTTCACTTCGTTCGGTGGGTGTTGGGTAACCGTAGTGGTGGAACGCGGAGCGCAGATTCTCCCTTCTCGTCGATAGCTGAAACAACAAGTAAGCATTACTATAAGTCGTTAGGAAAAAGTGCCAAAAAACGCGCTCAACAGCCATCGCGTTCGTTCTGAGTTCGTCGCGGCCACATCCCTCGTTCTCTCGTTAAGTCAACAATACGGCGCGACTTAATCATCACCCTCGTCGTCGTCGTCATCGAACGGCCAAAACACATGACACGAAACGACAAGATGTGACGATGGTGACGTATGGTCGAAGTCGGTTGCGTCTATTCGAGCGCACGTTCTGTGAAAACGGGTCGACGACGACTTCTTACGTCTCTCGACGCTTCACCTCACCGTAAGACGACGTAGACCGTAGCAGCGCTGAAAAGCAGAAGTAACTCACATCCGAAATTATGATGACTCCCTTAGCGAATGAAGTGTAACTGCATAAATCGACTCGATTCACACAAAGAGAAATTTATCAGGGAACGAACACCCGATCGACCGGGTCTGTTGTGTGACGACACCTTTTTCGTGGTCAACATCTGCCTGCAGCTGAAAACAAGCCTCGCTCGGCAACGAAGCTAATGAGTCAATGACTTTTACCGCTCGCTACCTGCCTGTCTTCAATAACACCGATTACGGAATCTTGCATAAATATTATTACTCAGAATTCAGAGAAACAGCGTTCCGGGTTCTTAAAGCTTTGTCATTTAACGTAAAACTTTTTTCAGGCTTCGATCTGATTCTAATATTAATTTGTATTCGCATCAAAGTGATAACGTCGTTTCGTATTCGAGTCAACAAATTAATCATGAACATTAATTCGGGCAGATACATTTCCGAACTAATCTTATCGTTGCATAATACGCTGAAGCGGCTTAATGCAAGAACGACGAAGACGTGGCACTAAACCGTCAAAGCAGCAGTCCGAAGTCCCATCGAAACCGGAGTTAAGTGGATGGCGTTAGTGCTGCTCACCGCTTGTATCGCAGAAGTGTAAATGCGACGCAAGCACCGTAATGACAGCGAAAACGAAAAAGCGTCCATTGTTGTACTTTCAGTACCTCCCTCCTCCTCCTTGCATTTACGCATGTCTATCAAAAGGTGTATCTGTAAATTGCTTACCAGCATATAAAAATAGCAAACGGTTTAAGGAAAGTTCCTACCCGTCGGATCGTCGATCTTCCTTCCTCTTTCAATAAGGCCGTTATCAACGGAAAACCTAAATTAATGCTGTCAGCAGCCAGAAGTGCCTCACTCAGAATCAACAGTAGTCACGTGACAAGCCTAGTGAATAGTTTCATTTTTTCTTCTCGCAGAGTGATACTCAAGTATTAACCATGAAGAAAGAAAGAAGAAATCCGAGACCTCTCGGTTCTCAGCCCGATATGAGAACTAAACGAATCGAGTAAAAAACAGATTATTTGAGGGATGAAAAATACTAGCAGCCGGATAGCACGGTAGGAGTAAAATATAAGAGCCAAGCGATGAAGAGACCGCACCACGGGTACAAATCCGGTAACGGTTGTGAAGAAATTCCCGAAACAAGCCGCCAGATCGCCTGTGCGCTAATCGCTTCTGTGCTTATAAATATTAGTACTCATGCGGTTAAGCTGCTCTTATATTTATATAGTGACGAAGCGGAACCGCCAAAAAAAGAAAGCAGTTGGTAAAGTAGCACAATCGACAAGCTGCACCGATCTTGGCAACTATCGCTGCCCGGAAGTGCAGCAACGCCGTCCGACCAGCGAAGATCCGGTAATGATCAAAGAACGACTCGCACGTTGAACTTTTGGTAGTCTGTGGGTGGCCAAGAAGACATGACATGCCTAAACAAGTAACGCAACCAAAGGATAACCGACAGGTTTATCCCTTCGACTGTTTATGTGACTCCTATAAATGTCGGCAGACTGCGGAATACGCTGATTCCTTAAAAATGCACGAAGAATAAATATTTTAATAAGTGCCTTATCACTTATCAGAGCATTATAAGGTACCGACAACTGCTAAAGATT